AAAAGTAACCACACACAATATGAGACTTTGGGCAAATTTAGCTTTTGATTGCATTCACTGATCATGGGGGGGGAGGGGGGGATTGTAGGGACCTGAAAAATGGCCCCTGGCAATGTCAAAATAACAGGTCCACACACTAACACAAACAGATTCCTAGATGGTTTTCTTGGAACGTATCCTGTGGGAATTCATAACTATTATAACATGATCTGCCATTTGACATCAATCCAGTCACACTGATTAAATTATCTTTATATAGACACTCATTGTTTGTCAGTTCTAACTGGAATTTCTGAGGCCGCTACGTGATTGTGTCTATTTTTGTCAGTACATAAGCAGCTGTTTTCTGTTTCTGATGTTTAAAATTCCTTGCAGAATGGTTCTAATTGGACACATTCCCTAAGAGATTGGGGGGATCTTATATCATGATATATTACTTGTAGAAGAAATGTATACCAGCACTTAAACCACAGAAATTTGTGCAGGCCCCTTAGGTTTGGGAGCCCCCTGTTGGCCACAGACCATCAATGCAGGGAGGGGACACAAGTGACTTTTTGCGTGGGGCCACAAACCCACCCCTGATTACAGGCTTACAATCATAAGCACTACATCTGATACTGGGTTCAGAATTTTTTTCAGGAAGTACAGAACATGAGATGGGGAATATTCTGGAAGCGATACGGACACACCCAATGTAATGGCACCCAAGCTGTGAGTTTGTAACGCTGAGAGGGAACCAGAGCACAAAGAATAAAACCTATAACAAGTCAATAATTGCTTGCTCCACCCACACAGATACACACACTAATGCTTAGCCACGGCGGGAATCGAACCCACAACCCTGAGGGCACAAGACCTTTTTAGTGCACTTAGATTCATTATTTAAATTTTAAACCACAGACATATTTCTTGGTAAAGTAAGGGAGGCAAAGTAATCAGAATAAATTTAGAGTTACATAACCCGGGGTCTGATTAAATTTCACCACAAGCCGGTAGAAACGGACAGGAAAGTGAAGATGCATAGGTGTAAAACTGATTATCGACACATTCAATCGCGTCAGATCTGATATCGGAACCGACCAGGCCAGCTCCTCGCGTCTGTGGTAAACGGTGATTATACGTGATATTTGTAATTCATTATATTTGCCCATTCACAGAGAATTACATTAGCTTCTGTTGTGCTACTTGTGCACTTCATCTCTCTCCTTTAGCAAAAGCCATTTAAACACACACTCACAGGCAAACACTCAACACTGGAAGGTTAGAGCACGTTCCCTCCTCTCTGGGAAAATTTATGTAGATGTACTAGTTAAATGACTACAGTAGTTATTTTTAAGCCGGAGGTGTACTTGGTACAGCAGGTGAGCTGTGAATGCACTGGCTTACAGTATCATTTTTGTTTCCCTTGGATTTGTGGTCTTTAAAAGCAGATGATGACTGGGAGGGTTTTGTTTTTTACTTTTATTTTGTGTGCCAGAGCCCAGCGCCATCTCTGTCACTCGGCAGACCCGTGCTGGCAGCCGCCGCGCTTTGCCACGCCGCGCTAATGAACATCCGAAACATCTGTCGGCCAGAGTGAGATTCCCGCATGGTCGTAACTGGGTGGGAAAAGCTACAGATCGGCACTTTGAAGAGCACATTCTGCATCCAGGCTCGCCGGCCGTCGTTTTGGATGCACGGCGCCTTCCTGACGGGCCGGGAAATCTACACACCGAACTTCCCCTCCGTCACGGAACTGTCAGTTGCTGACCCCCATCACATCCACAGAAACAAGAGCAACGTGTTAGCCTATTGTAGCATACATCTAACCGTGCAAGCTCTCTAAGGGAGGAAAATATCGAAACGTGAAACAAGAACTTTAAATAAAAATCCATCCTGCTACTTATCCATCATGGGGGGGTCAGGAGCCCATCACAAACTGTAAGGACACCCTGGAAATAAAACCACATACTATTGCACAGTAATTTAGAGACATAACTGTACTGTATATGACACACATGAATGGTGACAGGGTCGTATCCCTCACCAATTCTGAACATGCCATTGGCTAATAATAAGACTGACTCTTCTGTATGAATTATGCCCTCCCCCCTCCCCCACCTTCACTCCTGTATGTGATGCAAACATGTCTTACTTGTGGTTTGTCAATTAGCAATAATACCATCAGTCCAGGTAATCCCAAAAGCCAGTCCTCATTATAAATCGTCTCGTACATTCCTGCTCTGTGCCCCTAGGTTTGCCGCGCTTTCTGGCAGCAGATTGCGAATGGCGCGGCTTTAAAGGAAGCGGATGCGTGAAGCCTGCGTGCTGTAAGCGCAAGACGCAAGGTTTCAGGGGAGAAAAAAAACCGTCGCGGACAGCTTGATGCGTGGCATGTGAGTGATTGTGTTCGTGTCTGAAGCCCTGCTCTGCCAGATAAGACAAAACGTCCATTACACCAACGGGCCCATTAATTAAATCCCCCCCCCCTCAGCCAGAGCTGGACCCTCTATACGTTTTGCA